GTGGGGGGGGGGGGCTTTCTGTATGTAAAAAAAATTAACTTCCTCTTGGATTTATTATAACATTTTCACGTTCTGAATCCACATTTTTATTTTTATTTCTGATTGGCAGTGCATAGTATTTGTGAATTGGTAGTGTTTTAAGTGTGTGTGTGTGGAGGGGGGGGGTTAAGGGAGGTTTAGGTTTGAACAATATTTGGTTAACACCACAATGCCTTGTACCGCTGGAATCATGCAAAGGGGAAGTTAAGTTTTATAAATTTTGCACATTAAAGTAAAGTGAATTACATTAAAAGTTTTATAAATAATTCTTTTCTATTTGAATCTTTCTTTTTAACTGATTTACTTCAAACCTCCTAGTCTAAAAACTAGCAGACATAAGTAAAAATTCATAAATGACAGAAATCTAAATTAATTTTACTCACGACTTTCGTAAGCCGGAAGGAATTTCGGTCAAGTGGCTAGAACGTTTTCTTCAAATCGGAAGGCCTCAGCTTCAGCAATCTCACAGAGACCTGATAAACTGATCGAAGACTTTCGCAATTTTCCTAAGGGTCTCTACGTGTCCTTCCTTCCGCATTGTGTAGTTGATGATATATAACCTAAGTTCTTGGAAGTGTCGTTAAAACAAATAAATACGCACATTCTGACTCACTTCATCCCTAAAAATGGAGGCGATACGTCTAATCGGAACGGCGGCAACTATCATCAAGACCACATGTCGTAACCCAGAAGGTCATAACGGGAAATCTCAGACACACGATTTCGGGCGAACAAAGTTTTTCACTGCTGCATCCGTCACCAAAACTTAAATCCGGTGGATGACACACGTCAAGCAACTGAAAATCTTCGGGACACGCGATAATCCTGAAAACGTGGTGGACCGCGGAGCAGATACAAAAAAAATCTCAAACTTAAAATCTCACTGACAAAACTGATGGAAATTTTTCATCTTATTAATGGAGCACGCGAAGTTCGAACAAGGTCGAGATTCATTTACAGCAACATTTGAATTTATAAGAGGAAAGAGTTCGTTTCATTATGTAGCACTGAGAAAACTTTCAAGGAAGCCACGAGCTTATATAAAAACGTTATATCACCTCCGGTTCTTCCGAAGTATCAACCATAAGAAAGCAAACAAAATAACTTTTAAACAAAGACAAGATGAGAAGAAAGTCTTGTCTTTCTGGGAAGACTCCGATATCGATTTTCAGGGATTGACAGAATTGTTGAGATTCTTTACTTAACACGGTTTTACCTACAAAAAGGAAAGACATGTTTAAGTCAACCACTTCCGCTGTAAGGAACTTTTCAAGGCTCAAATCGAATAAGGATTTCCACGTGTGAACGCCTATCTGGATTAGCCACTCTTTGGATTGCAAATGATGTTCCAGGAGAAGCAGAGAGTGTCAACCAATCTCACTGAAAGCGATAAAGCACTACGGTGCATCTTAAATGGAAAATGGTGTTTCTTTTAAGTAAATATACAATTTGCAATAATTGCAAACCAATTGTTGTTGTGATACCAATTATTACTTTGTCTACCCTCTCGTCCACGCAGCCATAAATAATGCGGGGGTCTTCGCCTTTCAATTCGAGCACACAATTTGACCCACATGTCTCTACAGCAGTCGTCCATTAGAAGTTTACCGATGTTTCAGAGGTTCTTGCTGTCTCCATCATCAGGGTGATGACTTCTGAAAAGCCAGAATTCTGCCATCTTCACAATCACCACAGTGAAGACCTCTAATCCTTCTAACTAACAACGTTATTTATTTGCATTGCAGGTTAGATTATAAAACTTCGTCACAGGAAAGCAATTATTTTGTGCATGAAATTGGAATTGTGTGTGTTAGCTCGAGAACGGTTAATCCGACTTAAATCCAACCCGACTTGCTTCTTCCTTAAGACCATTAAGAGCACGCAAAAATGTCAAATGTCCGAGAAAGTGTCCTGCGTTCGATACCCGCAGACGGTGGTTTTGTATCCTGAAATCTGAGAACGACAGAAGAACGGCACAAAGAACAGACTCGGTTGTTTCGGCGAGGAGATTGGAAAGCCGAAGGGCACAACTCCAAAACAACTGTCCTGGGATCGAGTCCCGGTGAACATACTACACATGGGGGCAATAATTTCTATCCTGTGACAATCGACGATACGTATAGAAAGATGAAGACTATCACAAGCTCACCGGAAATCTATACTCATATGATTTCAACGCATTAACACAGCAGAAAGTCTGCTGGTAGTGTCTGAAGAAGAACAGTCCTCTTGCAGTAAGACTAACAAAGTTACAAGACCATAGGGGACCGAAATTTGCTTGCAGATTACAGCTGGATACGTAACAAACAAGCCGAGTCAATTAACATTAAATGGAAATAATGAAGGCACACATTTAAATTACGTATAAAACATTTTCTCAAAGTGGATTTTAAGCCTATTCTAGCACCTTGAGGAAAAGTAAAGTAAACATTTCTCAGGGACTGAGATCTATCTGTTATTAAATACATCAAATCCAATAAAGGAAATTAAATAATTCGTGTTCGGAACAATCAATGAAGTGCGTGATAGAAATATGTCGCTACAAGAAATATAATTTTAATTCGTCAAATATAAAGATTTCCGGAATTCCCCAGGAAGTTCATGTCTCCTTAGTA